TTCCTCGTCTCGAGGGTAAACTTAATTGTAGTGCACATCTTCCAGTTTCCTTGGAGAAAAAAATTATTCGCCTTAAAAAATGTTCTGACGAAGTTTCAGTGTTTATACCATACTGAAGTTGAGGCGTCCCTCTCACCTGAGCATACACAAGGTGAAAGTCATCACACAATAAGTGTCGCGTGTATCCAAACGTCTTCAAGCCCATGGAGGCTTTCAATTTTCGGTTTTACTGGCATAAGATGAATAAACCCAACTTATGTTTTGCTATCTCTTATCTATGCTACGTGACGTTTTTGCTACCTGGGAGGCCGGAAATCGGTGAGGTAAGCCGCCGCGGTTGATTGAGGCGGTGGTGCTGTCCCCCCCCCACTCGCCAATGATATCTGAAACCTCACACGGTGCTGCACTTCATTGTACCCGTTGAACTGTATCAGAGTTACGCAGACCGTAGCAGTAGTTCAGAGTAATGGTACAGCGAATGAAATGCCAAACAGTTACTCAACAAAAATGCGCACAGATAAACGCAAACGGAAAATATTTACAGTCTACCGCATTAGCCTCAACAGTACCTAAGAGCAGGTAAGCAACAGACCGCGACTGGTAAATGGACCCGGAACGTCATCACGATCTCTGTGACCGGCTAATGCAAGAATGCTATCGGTAAACGCATTTATCGGTACGTATATTACGGAAACATAGAAAATAACGGCGCTTGTCATTTTAATGTGTGAGACCTGAAGATATACCGAACTCGTTCCGTAATGGAACAACGGAGACCAAGTGTCCCCGGGAACGCTTTCGAGAACCTAGCATAAACCGGCGGCTCTATGTTCATAATGAAAAGAAAGATATTATCCTTTGTACTGAGTGGCAATACTATATTGCCTAATATAGCTATTCTAATTTTAATACAAAATAATAGCAGCAATATTACTTCAAGCTTACAATCCAAGCTCAGAAGGGGAAGAGATCGAACAATTTGATGAAGAATAAAAAGGCGCAGTGGAGCAGGTCATTGCGCACCTGGCCGTCCAAGAAGACTTCAAGCCGGTGGTAGGGAAAGCAACAGGCCACATGGAGGTATTTATTGGAAAAATGCGGAAACGACCAAAGAAACGAATTTAGACATCGCTTCGCAACTTTGGTTGAAAGCTACCATCTCCAGGTCATGAATTCCGTTTTTCAGAAAGCTCCAAAACGACAGTAGACATGGAGAAGCTTATATGGAAATTGTTTGAACAGAATCGACTAAGTACTGATGCATTAGAAACGAATAATATCAGACGTGTCAGTCATTGGACAGAACATCTTGTGTACGGTGTCATAGCACAGGCTTTTGCGTTCCACAGTAACGATCGATTTCGCAGAAATGGAGTCCATTTAAAAAACTGATATATTACCGCTTTGAGGAGGAATACCATTTGACTTTGAGGCATCATGTCAGAAGTTTACACAAATGAAAGTTGAAATGAACATTAGCGAGGGTGTACATGCAGATCACAATGATTTTGTCACTGTCATCCAGATTGTCTTTAGAACAGGACCAGCTGAACAGCAAAGTCAACGAGAAACCAACGCATCAGTCATCCATCAAGGCAGCTAATGGCTAAAAGTGTCATATTGCAGGCCGAAGGAAAAAATGGACACAGCCTGTGCAACAAGATACGTAAAAAGTTCAGAAGAGACTGCTAAAAGTATAGTGAATTCGATTAGAATAAACTACAGAGCTCAAGAGAAGCATTCAACGAGATATTCGCAAAAGACCACGGGTTCCATGTGCCCTGAGGAACGAAGGAAGAGTAAAAACTACTGATCGCAATCAGGTGAATCCATCTGCACACAGTTCTACAACAAGCTGTACTCTTCCAAGTAGGTGTGAGTCAGAGGTTGCTGAATGTTGTCCCTATAGTCGTTCCCGAAGTTACCTGGAACCAAGTTAAATGGGAAATTGGAAATGTTAAAAATGGCATATTAAATTAACAAAGGCAAAGGCGATATAAGATCAGAACACGTTAAAGCAGCAGGAACTATTCTGTTCAACGTGATTGCAAAGCGTGTTGCGAAATGACTTCCACAGGGTGGAACACAAAAATGTTTTTTGGCGCCCTCAATCACCTCAATAATTATCGCCCAGTTACACTCCTGGCGAAAATCCACAAAGTCTTTGACCTATCATTCTTAACCATATCGGAAGGATCTGAAACTAGTCACAAATTGGGAATAGGCCGGTTTTCTCACAGGGTTTTCTATGACCGAACATATACATGCCATCCAGTAGCTGACGGAGAAGTGCAACAAATATTAAGTGCCATTGTGTTGTATTCATCCAGTACAAGAAGACACTCGAGATGGTACCATTGACGGCTTATTAAACGACTTGCATGCAATATGGCATAAACCATATTTACTATAATCTGATAGAGGAATTGAACCTCGGATGCATCTGCCTGATCCGTAGCTGTTCAACCAACCATGTCGCATCAGAATCTCTCGAGGGCCGCGGCCTGGACTCACTCCTTACCGGCTAAATTGTCACAAAGGCATCGATACTCATAAAGAGCAGTTAACGCACTTGGTATTTGTACACTGCTGCATCGTCTTTGCACAAGACACGATGGAGCTCCAACGAAAGATCCAGCAGTTTCGAGAAGAATCTCTCACGAACCTCTCGGTTTACAGGTTAGCCTGTCAGAGACAAAGTGGATACGAACCGAGCACTGACCCAATGGGTCCAACACGTGAATGGGGTTAAATCACCAGCTACGTTTATTTTGACTCTCAGACTCGCCTGAGAGACAACCGGTGGAGGTCAAGAACTGCAGACGTCGATTTGGTGGTCCAAGAACAAACACGTTGGGAGGACCCGATGGTCAAGTTTCTTGCTCGGTGGCGTTCATGGCTCAGCCATAACAAGGACAAGTCAGACGATGGATATTTATACCACCGAATCGATTCAACAACGTAATGCTCCTAGCAGCCATGAACTCTAGGTGGTGAAATATCGTTGAGTTCTGATCTGTGTAAACGTTTCTCTATCTCTACAATCAAAGGCGCAATACGACTTCCCCGTACACCCAGCTTTATGTAAGTCAAGATCAATGTTAACCAATTCTTCGTGATTTAAAAGTTAGAGTCGTAATGTGGTGATACCTCTGAACAAACATGTCATCATAGTAAAAGTGAAGTAAATAGTACCAAAATGGTTAATGACTATAATTCCTGAGGGAAATTAAATCTTTTTGTCATTATACAATGCAAGATCGGCAGCTTGTCGATTTCATATGAGAAGGACAGAGTTCCGGGAAAACATGACATATGATTTCTCAGCGGATTTTGCCTAATTTTCTTGTTATGCCAATGTAATGCTTATCTATCCAAATGTAATTGTTTATTTCATTCGTTCACAAACAGAACTAGCAAACAACAGGCTTCGTATTGATATGACATTGTTTTTCTACCCCTAGATGCTTCAAGGTCGTTTAACCAGGCAATGGCGCTATAGAATACACGCGGCTGCAGTTCAGGGAGGCACCTCTCATCATTCGTTTGCCTTTCACCTCACCAGCGAGTTTCGAGGAGCATTTATTTTTGCACCGTTCTGCTGTTACATGTAACAGTGGTTTTACGAGCGGCGAGAGTCTCACTGTACTCAATGATTGTCATAATTTTATTGCATCAGAAGTGCAACAGCTTATCCCAATTTAATTTCATTTAATTCAGGGAAATTTTCTAAACAAGAATAAATTTCTTCTAATAAGGAGCGTAACGTTTCTAACAATAGATACGTTTAATACATTAGAGCCGTTGCTTGTATGATGTGAAGCGAAGGGGCTGTCCACTATTTCACTACATCTGATATACTGACTACGATGCATGTTACACCGCCGTAATATCGATGTGAAGTAAGCACCATTATTTTGCAGTCTTAGTCCTGTAAATCCAATATCGGCATTTGAAGGAATCGGAACGCTGTCATTCTTGGCCGCTGCCCCTAAATATCGTGGTATGCCTTTCTCATATTTTCTGCATATTCTGCCAATGGGTAGTGACAGTTTTAGTGCTGCTCGAATAGGCTCAGTGACACGGTTTTGCGCTGCGTCCTATGCACTGCAGGCGCTTGAATGCCATATAACCTTGACTTCCATGACTCCCTTAGGGGAATGGAAGCAAAGGGGTTATGCACTACTGCGGTACAATCTGGTGCAGTTGCCACCTGCCTTATGTTACTGCAATATTGCTGTAAAATAATCGAGTTACAATTTTCGCCATGCAAACCCAATATCAGTATTTAAAGGACAATGAACACATTGCTCAGGAACAGAATCCTGTAGGGGAACAATTTCATTAAATTATCCAATGCTGGCTTCAGGATAAAGTTTTTTGATTCTGCTTCATGGTACCTACAATATGAAACTTTCGGCCATATCGTCAGAAAATGTTTTGTGAGTTTTCTTAGTTTGAGGTCAGTTCTAACAGAATATATTGTGTTACTTCAGGTTCAACCGGTTAATTTGATTGAATTTTATATCAGGCGGAGACAATAAGGTTCATATACAAAGGGGAGTGCCAAAACCCTCAATAACTATCGATCAATGTATATCAGACAATATGCCGTGTTTGTCTGGATGCCGAACTTTGGTAAATTTTAATGAAGGTTCCTTGAAATGTCATTTTCAACATCTGCAATGTCAATTAATCTCTCTGCCTGTTCAGCACAAACGGCTTTGGACATGAACCGGTGGATGTGCCAGATTTTCCTCAGTATTTCAAAACAGATGGTGATGTTTCAGATGTGTGATTTCCAAAAAATCATAGGCAGAGCAACGAAGGGGTAGGTTTATTTGAGCTGCTGGATCAATTTCTCATTTATTTGCAGCTGCAAACCAACAACAGCTGTCCTGA